TGCAGATACAGAGCCAGGGCAGGCAAGAAAGCTAATTGGACCTGCTCTAACCCCTCCACTTTAGAAACCCAGTGAAATCAATAGCCGTTTATCAGGAGTTCAATATTTCATGATACATAATTGCAGAGTACAGTTTTATTCTGAATTGACAATGCAGTCCCACACAATAAGTCTCCCTTGGCACTCAGAAAGGGCAGCTCCTCTAATGAATCCTCATTGAGGGGTTCTGCGAGAGATTATTATAAACACACACACACACTTACGTGAGTGTTAGGAGACTGCAAAACGCTCAGGCAGGAGGCGAGACCCAAAAAGTAGCTGCTGTACCAACACCCAGGAAACGTGAGACATGGGAACAGCAGAGCTCCTGACTAACAAACAATTTCTTCTGCAAACTCACAATGCTCTGGGATATTTCACGCAGAGACTTGAAACAAAAAAAACCCTACGATAAAAATCTACCAAGACAATAAAAAATGTAAATACAGATTTCGGAAAAAGGCAAGCTGCCATATTGGAAACTCCTTGTGGCCGTGCATGGCTCTCAAACACGTCAAGAAGATAATGCCTCTGTAACTAGGCATTCAAGACTCACAGTATATGCATGACCTTGCAGAAATGGCTGTACTAATATACAGAGAGAAAAAAAACAGCTTTGCAAGTTCCTGTCTTCAACATTTTCTACTGGAATAGCAAGAGCCTAGTAACACAAATAGATAAAAAATGCAACAATAAACATTTTTTTTTCTCCCAGCAAGGAGATATCTGTTAAAGCTAAAGGCAGCCAGAGCAGCAGGAAACCCTCATTAAAAAACTCCAGTAACACTCTTAAAAACAGCACCAGACTAAAGTGCACTGATAGAGGCGACACGGGATTTTTCATTATATATGGAAAGCAATAAAATTTCAATTTAAATCTCACATCGTCGCACACACACCAGGGCAGAGATCAGGCCCAAGCCCCTCCACTCCCTCGTTCCATACAGAGCCTGCGTTGAGCCGGCATTCGGACCCATTTATTACCTGCCGGGCTGGTGACTTGCGCTTTCAACAGCGCGACTCTGTCTGGCACCCAGCAAGCACAGGCCACCCGCATCAGGAGTGCCCATCCATCACCCAGACCCTGCTATTGTGTTTTGCCTTTATTAATGGAGACCTCTGACATTTCAGATCCCGGCCAATCAATACAAATCAATTCAACGACTCTGGAAAGATTTAATCAGGACGTGTAGTTTATATAAAATCCATCTCCTCTTCCCCGAATCACACTGTTTTTAAATGAAATTTCCAGAGCGGACAGGGACCAGGCAGGGGCTAGGGGACTAAAACTCCTTCGGAGTGCCGTTCAGAAACGGAAAACTGAACCCGCGCCCTGTTGAGAAGAATATAGCCACACAAGAAAGGTTAGAGACGCGAGCAGGCAACCGGGCCTCGAACTACGGCACAGACACGCTTGACAGAAGGAGAACTGATAAGAATATCCATAGCCAAGTCTGTGCATCACACAGCAATCTCTGCTCTCTCTCTCAAGAGCCTAGCACATTCATTCAGGCAAATTTCATCTCTCACAGTTCCTTATCTCCTAATAATACAAATTGTCGTCCAAGTGCAGCTCTATCAGATTTCGATTCCCTTGAGTGGGATTCCTGGCTGTGGAAGTATGGCAATCGGAGATTACAGGAGTGATGCTAGTCAGGAATCGGAGTTTTTCCCTTCTTTCTAGGGAAGGTGTGTTCATATGGATGTGTGGGGGATGGAGTGGTTAGCAAATACTCGCCAGATAACGACATAGCCTCCGTTTCTCAATCGAAGATAAAATACTGCAGGAATCTCTCCTGAACTTTTGCATTCAGCGGTTCAAAGCACAAACAATGGCTCTAGAAATACAAGCTTTTTACAAGCAAGTAAATGTGGCAAGTAGCAGGAGACTCGGCTCTTGGGCAGATGGGATAAAGGCTCTGATCTGCAGATAGACCAAGAACAGGTGCCAGCTCATGGCTGCATAATTCCATATGTGAAAAGTTTTCACTAATTGACACAGATTTCAATTTCTGACAAAGGGATGTGAATTCTAGTTTTTTTCCCCTCTTTACCTTTTCCGAAAAGCTGTGCTACTTATACACCCACGTCTTCATTTATATAAACCTGGCCAATTCTAAGGAATTGTCAAGTTCCATCTTTTTCTTTTGAAAATAATCATCTTTCAAGTTGCATGTTGCATCCACTTCCCATGCAATCACATCCACCTACAGCACGACAGAGAGCAGCTTCGCCCTCCTGTGCCTCCTCAAGACCAAGGTTTCTGATTAGTTTTGTATCGGAGTACCTGAGCTAGGCTGCTGCATCACATACCCGTGTGACATTCAGTACAAGGTGCTGCATTGAAACAGTGAGAATGCAAATCAGCACAACACAGCAGGCAGCAGGCACGAGCCAGAGCTGACGGGGTCGTTTCTGGCTGGACTGGGGTGGCCCTGATGACCAATGCAACGGAAAGCTCGTATTTACACCATGCTCATAGATACACAATGGTAAGTGGCGAAAAAGGGCACTATTTTGAGACGTACTGCCCACAATGGCTATTTAACTCTTCTGATCCTGCTTGCTCTTGAAGTATCTGGGAGAAGTACCACCCAGCACCAGAAACAGCCACAGTCATCATCACTTACAGTAGGGTCACTGTGCTTCACATGCACATGAACAGAACTTCCCACTAGCCTGCAATGAGGGAACATTTCAATGGATAATTTCACAACAGGGACAAACAGGAGAGCCTTCCCTTCCCTTGGAAAAGCCAACACAAAAAAAATGCTTTTCTTTCTCTCTTAACAAACCTGCATCCAAACATTAACAAACAGTGACCTGTTTCTGGACTGAACAGTAACCTGACACATCTGTTCTTTTTCTTTTCCCGTTAACAACCGTTTTTTGTGCAATATATGCCAGGTACCCGTGCAATTCATTTATATTTATATCTATATTTACATCTATATTTATATTCATATGTGCAATACCATTTTTCTGCATACTGTTCTGTTCTAGTTTGTTCTTTGTGTGTCCTGGACTGCGAGTAACTCTTTTAGTGCACCCTTCACTGTACTGATTGGATTGTATTGTATTATTATTGTATCATTCGTTACACTGTGGCTGTGTTGTGCGTGTTAAGCTGCTGTTGCACTGCAATTTCCCTCACGGGATCAATAAAGTACCTATCTATCTTTTCCGATCGTACCCAGCAGGACAGACAGCAGAGCCGGGAAAAGCTTAAGGAACACGGATGGGTGGAAAAAGAGCCCCACCCCCCCACACACATTTTTCCCCGGGAGCCGATGACAAAGACTGAACAGGGAACTGCGCTCTGGCGGCCTGACCTTCTCTCAGCGCAACGCTCCCCTCGCCGCTAAGTGATTGAGGCGCAACATCATTGGAAACGACGCCTTGAAGAGCTGGAAAAGGTTATAGTCACTGACTCCCTGACACGGCTAAATTATTTATTGCTAGATTCATGTAGTGCTGAAGCAACCTAATTGGTAAAAGAGAGGATTTTTTATATCAATCTGCCGTACCGCTGAGAATGTTAAAAAATAAAACAAAAAACAAAGGCCTTTCAAGTGCCTGGTGCCGCAGAGTGGATTTTAACTCGACTGGGGCCGCATTGTGGCACCAGGAGTGGAAGCGCACAGCCAAAGAATTTGCCACGCAACTGCTCAGCTCTCGCGGCCGCTAACTCTAACGAGCGCTAACTTTTCCAAATTAAATATTTATGCAGAAACAGTGCTTATTGTGAAGGGCTGTGCCTGCAAAGCCGAGACATCAGACAACGGCTCAGACAGCAGACATTTCACACAGCACCCGGGAAGGCAGCAAAACAAGGCTGTAGCTCAACAAGGATTACCCTCAACTTCACCGAGAACAGCACTGGAATTGCTCAAGTTTCATTTCGCAAGCTGGAATTGGCTAAAAATAAAATAACACACCACTGCCCGGTATTAGGTTTTATACTCGGGAGGGTAGCTAAAATAAACAGAAGGCCCACCATCTCATCTGGAGGAGTTATTATTGGATATAGCCAGTCCCTGCCTTGCATTGATCCGCGGGGCCACAGTTCTGCGGAGATGCAGAGAGCCACGATCTGTCAGCACAGAACTGGGGTGAGGGCACACTGCCTGAAGAATACTCTCGTGCCATAGGTACCAGTGCCCACATCTGCGACATCTGTATTGCACTTTTATCTTGAGTAAGGATTTATATAAATATCACAAGGTAAGTGTCCATGAAGAAGAGAAACAAGACTCACTAGTCATGAAGAAAGAGTTACCGTATCCGTGTTGTGTATTCAGAATGACCAGTAAACCACCAGACACAGATTAAACTACATGAAAGTGCATTTAAGCCCAAGAACAGAGTGGCTCTTCTTTACACCAAGAGCTGTGGGAGTGTGAAACAAGCCACCCAGCCCTGCTGCTTTCAAGAAGTTGCTGAATGAGATCTGGGGATCAGTTAACAACGACCTACACAACTCACCAGGTGGGCTGAATAACCACCTTTAATTTATAACTGTTCTTTTGTTATTTCCTAAATGAATATAAATATATACAGTATGAACACTATTTTTACCTATACATCTATCAACAATACTGTTATCATTCAAATTATAACTCGGGCAGCCGAAAGCAGATCTCAAGGCATTTTCCCTCAGATAAGCTGAGTTTTTCCATTTGAAAAAGTATACGGGTAGACGTAGGGATTACACTCGAGTACATTTGACAGCCCCACTTTTAATTATAAAACTGAAGACAAAGAAACCTCGGCAACCGCTAAAAAGAGTGGCTAAGATTCCGTTTCAGAACTGAAAAATTCTTTTTGATAAAGCCACACATTCCCACCCACCCATTTGCTTTGTGAGATAGAGGAGAGGGAAAATGCTGTCAGCTTGAAAATGCACAAACAAACGAATATCAAAACATTTCAAACAGCCAGAATACATAGAAGAAATTTACCTAAATCATTCCCTTCTCTGCTTCTGTTAAAAGGCCCTTTGCGTTTCTCAGCCTTGAAGAGCGATGCTGGACAGCCGCTGACAGGCAGGGGTGGACAGGCTGGTTTTAAATTGGGACTCTGCTTGAAAGCTTGTTGCTCGCTCATTTTCTTTCAGACGCTACTCCCAGAACAGGTAAACAAACCAAAAACCTTTCTGCTCGCGTTTACTCACAACGCAGTACGAGAGACAAGTGGAACATCATTACCGAAGGCAGAAACTACAGCTGAAGTTTCCGGTCTCGGACGGTTAGTTTGGGCTCCTCCAAGCCTTGGCCACTGTCCCCAAAAAAACCTCAGAGCAAGTTCTTTCACGAGAACACCTTGAAATTCAATAGCACAGGTACACAAACGCGGTCTCCCGGGTGATTTCCCCACTGCTGCGGCAGGATTAATCAGAAACCAGGTAAACAGCAACTGAAAAAAGTAATAATTACAGGCCTGGCAGGTTGAGAGACTATTGTCTACACTGTTCTACAAGCAGAACATTGTGCTTCCTCGGCAGCAGTCTCCTGTGAGTTTCCTCAGTTTATGTGTACCTGCATATATTAAGTGTTAAAATGTAACGCCTCAAGGACTCAGGCTGGAGGAAGAAAATATCTGTCTTCATAAGGTAAACTGCTGTGCTTTCCTTTCCAATATTCAATTATTCCACCAACTTAGACCATCCTATTTGTTCAAGTCCCACCAAAAACCACTTTCAGCTGCCCATCTCTAGAGTTTAGTTAGGAGGGGGCAGGAATTTCAGATCAACAAGATTCTGCAGTCAGTCATCGAGGACAGGACGTAGACCACTGGGATGCCCTGAACCGAGCTCAACTCAGCTCAGGACTCACAACAGCCACTTTAGCGTGTTGATTTCTTGGTTCAACCCGAATTCACTGCATTTCACCCAGGTATCCACCAGGGAGAAAGCATAAGACTGAAACTAATTTAAATCAACAAATATACTTATTTCATTCCAGGAGAATAAGGGAAGTCTTGGAAATGGCAAGGACTCCAGGGGTTTCTGTGCTCAAGATGCAAAGATATGAGCACTGTATTAATTGAGCTGCTTAGAAAGGGGAATAGCGGGGAGAAGAGCTCATTAAAAATTATTAAAAACAACCAGTCAAGCGCAGCTGATGCATGTCCAAACACTCCAAGTAAATAAAAGGAGAAAACCCAGCTTTTCGGAAACGTTCTGCGCACTTCGACAGATCCCGTGCAACGCGCGCTCGTAAAAAGAATTTCGCGACGCCACCCGGGGCATGGAGAAAGAAGGAAGTGTGGGGGAGGGCAGGGTTCGATGGCGTGGAAACTTGTCACGCTGTCACGTGTTCTTCATTAGCGGCAAACAACGCGCAAGCTGCTGGTAGCCCCCCGGCCCCCCATCCCGACAACCAAGACCCTCCACGATTGCACAGCTCCGTGCTCCTGCCGAAACTCCTGACGCGCTCTTCATGCACGATTGCTGTCTGTGCTCATTACACTGCAAATCTTTCATGTAGGACCGCTGCTGCTCCCAGGGAGCTGCATGGATCTGCATCAGGAGCTCAAGCTGGAGCAGCAACAGGCGGCAGACTCCGCACCTTAATTGGTTACGTCTTCCCATTCGTAACTATCAGATGCTTCCTGGGCATTATGATGGGTCAGAATCCATCCTCTGGGCCTTCAATCAGAGGCAGAAGGCTGGGAGCAGCAATCGCCCAGTCAGCCCGTCCTTCCTGGGTGCAGCCCCTGGATGGCGCCGTGTTGGTTGAGCTGCACGAGGGCCTCACTGCCCCTCATCGCCTTCCTGCGGGAGAGGCAGCAGTGGAAGCCCCAGCTGTTGCGCTTAACATTCGGACCGTGGCGGCACGCCCAATCCAATGCTAAGCGCGTTAAAAAAAAAAAACAATCAGACTGGTCTGGAACTGCCAAGGCATTTCACCAGAGGGCAAAGCCTGAGTGGATGTTCACATTCATTTAATCGGACAAGCAAAAAAATTGCCCGTTAATGCATAGCTAGTAGCGTTATAACTTGCACGAGACAGTGAACATCCAATCAGGGGCTCTTAAACCCCTGGCCCCCCCTACCCCAACCCTGTTCTTCACAAAATCCATGTCTGTCTCCGGCCCCTGCAGCGTCTGTGCACAGATCACACAAGGGCTGCGTTTAGACCTCACCGACGAGCTCAGAAACACGAGCCTCCTTTGTACCTGAGTGATCCCACTGGGCAGGGTTTATTAATCCTAACAGCTGGACTAATTTTAAGTTAATTGTCAGAAAACAGCTCCGTGGCTGAGAGTGTGGGTTTCAGCTTTACCCCGTCAGCCCCACAGGACCACTTACCAGTATCAGCAAAGCAATTAAGCACAGTTTCCAGCGCAATGCCAGAGGCGCAGTGCCTGCCGTCAGAGAAGGAGATCTCAGCACAATTATTCTCTACTGGTTACGAAAAAACCAGGAAGCGGGTCCTGCCTTCATTACTGATCCAGCTCTGCACTGATTAAAAGTCTATCGGGCTTCCAGTCAAGACAGAAAACTCGAAACAATTAAACTCCCCATTAATAACAAGTCTGTGTGTTCTTGACACTGTGCTTTGCATCTCCCAGGAGGACTCAGAGGAGGGGGGGGAGGATTACAACATGCTCCTGTTCTCAAATTTCACATCTTCTTTGTTTCAGTTGAGCAGAAATTACCTCTGGCCAGTCTGACAAGGGGTCATTCAAATCCAATAGCTATAGGTCCGTCCAGCAAAGGACAAAGCTGCTGACGTGGTGAAGCAGACAGGCGACCCCCCACCCTGCCTTTTGCAAGAACTGCTGAGGCCGGCACTATTGGTCTTGGAAGGCAGGGCAGTACCGCAGGTGTGAGGAGACGGGTAAGAACGTTTTAGTCAACCCAGTGGGAGCCTTTCTTGTTAGAGCAGGCCTCTATCATCAGGCTAATTTTCTACTCCCAACTTTGTATTCTACAAAATACAAAAAGCTTGAGGGGGTTAGTCCTCAGGTATTTTTCAGACTCAGCTGCATAACTAACTCCTGTGCTGAAGTGGAACTCACCCAGCCGTGCAGGGTGCAGGGTGCAGGGTGCAGGGTGCAGGGTGCAGGGTGCAGGGTGCAGGGTGCAGGGTGCAGGGTGCAGGGTGCAGGGTCTCTGAGCACTGGCACTGGGAGAAGAGGTGGTTCATTCAGCTGTGCGGCAAGAATAACCTGATGCACACTCTCCACATAGGAGCACCCATTCACAGCCCTGTCTAACCCACTCATCCTACCCGGACTGGCTGTCTGCAATGTGGGTCTTGTCTGAGACATTGGTTAATGTGCCATAACCCAGAATCCTCATCCACGCCTCCACAGCAAGACCTGGACCCACTGGGTTTCATGCATAAAAAATGAATAGCAGCAACAGACCTGAATTTAAAAATGGCATTGCTAGAAAGCAGGCCATTGTGTGCTTCCAAGTCAGTCAATAATCCCTGAAAACAATGCCGTCCCCCCTCCCACTGCAGAGTGGCAAGTTATTGGGCAGAATAAAGCACCTGTTTTCTGTCTTACCCTGCTGAGCGTAGAGCACTGGCTGAAGCAGCGCGATGGCAGCCGATGTGCCACAGTGCTGATGAACCGGGCAGGCAGCTCCCAGAGAACCGCACATGTTGCGCCAGCGGCCAAACTCGTCAGGGCCACATGCTTCTCGTCAGCAGACACTTTCAAACAACTCCACGCTCAAGCCCACTCCACTCCTCTCCTATTAATCCCCGGGCTCGCATCAATACGCTTACCTTGAGAAAACGCACAAAGGATACAGCTCACAATGACGAGCAATAAGCGGGAGACGAGAAGAAAATGGAGAAAAAAAAACTCCCACATGCGGCTTTTTTTCCCTTTTCTGAAAGGTTATTAAATGTCAGATGACAAGGTTTCATCTTCTTCAATTGCATTTTTTTTTTTATCTCCCCCTTCCCACCTCCCTCCGCCTACCAAAGGTGACCGGGGAAGGGTCAGGGTGCTCATGCGACAGTACAGCAGGGCGGGCTGGTGAGGTATTTCGACAATCCACGTCCGAGGCGAGGGAACAGATGCAGCCTGCTCTCTGGCTTCCTGGACCGGTGTGGTCTGCGCACCAGCTTGTCCCATGATGCCCCAGGTGCCCCCACCTTATCTCCTGACCCTGGTGTCCGCGCCCACAGAGCGGTCACAAGGAGCAGGCTGCCCTCTCCTCCAGAAGGCCGTCTGAGCCTTTGAGGGACTGGTGTCCTCAGAACAGTGTCCTAACACTGTCGCACAGAACGAGAACTTCCTTAATCCCCTCGGAAACACAGCTCCCTCTCTCCCTCAGCCAGCACTGAAGGAAATACAGAAAGACCCGGAGCACATTAAAGACACTGCAACACCTGGCAGACATTTACTGTAGAACAGTGTCTGGAATTCCCTGGCAGCATTCAAGAAACAGCTGGATGAGATCTTTACGTGAATTATCCACCAACAACCAGATGAGCTAGATGGAAGAAGGGCCTCCTCTCATTTGTAACTTACAATGTTCATAGAACGTTTACTACCTCGTGACTGGCTTCACTGCCCGCTATCAGCTCTATTTAAAACAGACCCAGTGAGCAGAGCCACCCTGTCACCTGTCAGACACAAAGAGCTCAGGGAGCCCAGCAGCCCTCAGCGAGTCTGCCCGTCAGGGTCTGAGTCCTCACCTGAGACTCCACTTTCTTCACGGTTTCTGTTTCTCCCCTAATTGCCCCCCTCCCGCCAGCTCCAGCTCTATATAATTACTCCGAGGGAAGAAATATCACAACTATTTGCATAGCTATAAGTCATACAATTGTCTCCTGCATTCCTCCATTTCCTATTTACTTCCATCCATATTTTATGACTTATAGATTCACAAGCCTTTAAAACAGTGACATATTAGTATGTAGTGACAGCTTTATGGGCACTAAAGAGCTGTAGTACACAGGCACTGAGAGCTCAGGCCATAAATGTAATATTCTAATGGTCTCTCTTTTTTTTTACTAAAGTCAAACTTCTCCTATACATCCCAATTACCACAGCACTCAAGCCACAAAATCGGTTTCTAAAACATCACTGCCCTCCCCTCCGCGCTTGTCTTCAGTACAAAGCCCAGTTTTAGCCAGCGCAAGCAATATGACAGCAGATTTTCCAGAGCAGTTAGAAATCCAATGCTAAGCTCGGCTGCACAATCAGACATGTTCTTTGTTACCAATCACACCCAGCTCCAGCCCCGATGGTGACAGATATCCTATTTTTATACTTGACTGTCTGGCACCTGTACATGCTGTTAAAATAGAAATAGAGCAAAAGAACTAGGGTTAAGGTTTACATCAGGGTGGCCTGTAGTTTCC